CGGTAAGTTTGACTTTCAGCTTTACCATACTTATAAAGCCACAAACAGATCACTGTTTTCATTGGAATGTATCCAAAAGAATCCAATTTTCATTCAGGAGATGTCATCCACTCACAAAAGTTCTCAATGCAGGAGAAAAGTAAGACTTAAGTCCACAGTAGTAGTAACAACAACAACAACAACAACAACAATGATTTATACACACACACACCCCAATCTGGCTGGGTTTCCCCAGCCACTCTGAGGGGTTCCCAACAGAATTAAAAGCACAATAAAACATCAGGCATTAAAAACTTCCCTAAACAGGGCTGCCTTCAGGTGTCTTCTAAAAGTTAGATATTCTTCAATTTGCACAACCCTTTACACAACTGGAAGCATGAGGACTGCTACAAAGCCTATCCAGCAGGTTTGGGTACCAGTAGCTATGTGAACTCTTGCTCAAATTATCCCACAACATGTTTGAGAAGCAGTACTACTAGCCATTTGCTCCTGGTCTTGGAGACCAGCTGACTGCTTGAAGTAACTTAGTTTCTATTAAAAAGTCCATAGAAACTGTATTTTCGTGTATAGACTTACTGTCTAAAGTTCTCTTTACTATTTTTTTAAAAAAAGATTTGCCCCTTGGATGATACCACATTGAACAAATCCCCCACAAAGTCTCCTTCTATCCACCGGCCTTCTTCATAAAGCCAATGAGCTGTCTTCCAATGGGTCTTCCCTATGCCTTCTAACCCCATCCCTGACATTTCATGCCATTCCATCTCCATCCATGAAATATCCACGCATTCAGCATTGACATCTGCAAAGGAATAGCAATGAAGAGAGGCCAAAGCACCACAGGTCAAAATACATGCCGACGTCCCTTGAAGAGAGAGAGACTGTATGCAAGTGCTTATACACTAACACTAGATTAGGTAAATTGGAGTGCTTGCTCTTAGAAGAAAGCAGTGATAGAGTGGGCATAACAGAAACCTGGTAAAACAGAGAGAATCAATGGGACTTGGTGATCTCCAGATATAAAATACATAGGAAAGACAGGGAAGGATGTACCGGAGGTGGTGTTGCTAGGTATATCAAAGAAAGCTCTGAGTCCAACAATCTAGAAACCCCCAAAGGGGCAGAATTGCTGTAGGTTGTAATATTGGGCCCTAAGAGTCATTTTGAACTGGAGGTGAGCTATCACTCTCAGACAAAAGAGGAAATGTTGTAGTATTGGATGACTTCCACAATCATGACACAGGCAGACTACATATGTGTTCCATTCACAACAAAGAGGTAATTTTTTTTGATACCTTAAATGACTGTGCCCAAGCAGAAGAACCAGAGGGGAGGTAACGCTGGACATATTTCTGAGTGGTGCCAAGGATCTGGTGCAAGATGTAAGTGTAGTCAAGCCAGTTTGGGAGCATTGACCATAGTGCTATTAAATTTAATATACATACATTATATAATCTCTCTGTATAAATATATGGAAAACAATGATTTCTCTCTAAGACTGTTTCATATAATCCTATAATTCATATTCTATATTGTTAAGGGTATCGGGTGGTTGCTTGAGAGCAATCAGGCAATATGCCTCACTAGTCTGTTCTAAAGCTTTCTTATTGGTGCTAAAAACCCTTTAGAATGCAGAGCGCCTCTATTCCATGTCTTGCTCATTCACTGGCAGAATCTGAGAGTGGGCGGTCCTTAAATCTTCCCCAGCAGAGTAGTTTCTTGACCCCCAGTCTGCGCCTCCCCTCTCTGCGCGAAAGCCTACTGCGCAAGGAAGGCTTGGGTAACGGGGGACCTCCCTCCTCCCCGCTTTGCTCAGGCAAGGTGTCCTGGCACTGCCTTGCATCCTCCGAGCCCTGCATCTCCTCCCCACTAGAGGCGTGGCTTCCTTCCTCCGCTGAGGAAGTGCTGCTTCCCACGATCTTTGGGGGCTCTCTGTAATCCATCCGCCTTTTCCCCTTTCACCCCTGAGCCGATGGCAGTTCCCTGCCATATATTAAAGACTAACAGTTTCTGCAGAGCATGAGAGTTGAATTTGGAAATATTCCATTCATGGTTTTATCCGTTATTCTGTGGTGAACTAACACAGCTGACCTATGCTACGAAGGGAATTGACTCTACGACCTGGGTAAAAGTAGTTGATTCATTATGCTCAGTGTTCATATGGTAATTTTTTGCTGATGGTAGTGAGGGGAGATTTTCTCCCAGAATGGAATTTGAAGGAAGATCTTCTATAGCTCGATAAACCAGAGCTGCTTTGAATATCTATAACACGTTCACTTATTATTGTTTTTCTTGCTGGCTTCCCAACAACTGAGGGACATTTAAAAATTCATGTTGAATATGCAACAGATAACTTGTTCATCATCTGCACAGTCTAAAAGATTTTTTTAAAAAATTAAAGAACAATGCAAACTTCTTGCTGAAGTTTCTAGCTGGCGCAGCAACTGGGTCTGTATCAGACCAGGTGGTATCACACTATTGTAGCCAGGCCAGCTCAGCCTCACCCCCTCCCTGACCCAGAGAGCCCTGTTTCTGCCAGTTTCCACCAGCAGGGATCCCACCAACTGCACATCCATCCATCCATCCATCCATATTTGTCAGCTGAAAGGGAGAGTGATGTGCCAGCAGAGTGACAATGGCGTCAAAATACGGTTGCCATATTCCCCAAAGTGAAAATCCAGACAGAGTTGTTGCGGTTTTTTGGGGGGGGATGTCAAAGATGAGTCAACATTCATTTTGGGGCTTTTCTTAGATTTTTAAAGATTTTTTAAATAAAAATAGACCAACTTGCCATTTGTCAGGGTTTTCCAAGATATTTTGCTGATTCAGCAAAATCCCGCCCGGACGCCATTTTTCTGAACAATTCATGGACGTGTCTGGGGAAACCCAGACGTATGGCAGCCCTATAAAAATATCTGTAAGTGGTGTACAGAAAACAGCAGCTGAGAACTTGTGTCTCCTTTCTCCCAGAAAGAACACTCTGCTCCATCTTCGAGTTGCCCTGGCATTGCAGAACCAAGGGAATAGGGATAATGGTTTGCTGGATTCTGTACATGTACTTGAAAGCAAGGAGACCTACCACTCCAGATGAGATGATGATGCTGGAGTATGACTTGGTACCTGAATTTGCTTGCTTCCCTCCCCATTCTGTTTCCTTTTATTATCAAACATTTCAGATCATGAGTCTGCAAAGAGGAGATGGTGCGTCTTTTAAACCCTGTGCAATGTGTGAAAATGTTAGGCACTTTACAACTGAAAAATAATTAAAACAACAACAACAACAACAACAACAACAGGAAGTTAACAATGAAATGTTCCAGAAGAGCAAAGTGATTGTTATTCAGAGATATATTGAGAGCTATTCTGTCAGAGAGGTCTAAATAGAAACAATAAGAATGATTTTGAGTAAAAGCACAAGTTTATGTCACCTTTCAACCGACACAAATGATCTTTTGAACATCTTGTAGCTTACCCTGTTTTCCTATCTATATTTGATTTTTGTTAGTGACTAAATAGAAGCTATTGTGAAATGCAAAAGTTACATTATGCAACAACTTTTTGCCTAGGGACCTGAGACTGGAGCAATGTCTTTCATTTAAAGCCTTCCTTAAAATGTGGAGAAAACAGTCCAGGATTGTCTGCAACAAACCCTAGTAAAACCAGAGCAATTCCAGAGCAAATCACTCATGACTTCATCCCCCTTTTAATAATTGTGACTTAAACAATTCCCATGCAACCTGGTTTCAATCATTGTTGCAGTTTTGAAACTGCAATTTCAAACTGAAATTGCAAATCTCAAAGGCAGCTCAGTTTACAGTTGACCGATTAAGCTTGGTATCTGAATTGTTTAGAAAAAAATTATTTCCATAAAAATGGTTTGAAAAGCAGTACAATAGCCAAGTGTGTATAATAGCTACCCATACAAATTTCTTTCCAAAGCAAATAATACTTTGTAAACTTTCTGAAAAGCCTTAGTTTTGACTTCAAAGAGTTTGACATCATTCTCATTGTTCTCGCACCGCTCCTACTACTGCTAGCATTCCCATTGACTGTTAACAAGCAACTACTGGCTTGATTGGTGACGCATTCTCCACAATCACTTCTTCCACTCAGTGGGATTATATCAGCCAATCACATTTAGAACTGTGTGTTATCATGGTTTTGGATAAAGATGTCATCATGTTATGGTCCAATTGTTCACATTTAAAGGGCAACATTTTGGATTAGGGAGCAAAATAATTAACATATTGCTGGGAATTCCCACTGATTCTCAGTGTCTTAGTTTTTTAATCTGTAAAAACGTACCAAATGAAATTAACTTTCACCAACATGATATCTTCATGAAAAATTTATTTTCACAAACCTGAAAGGCTCTCAGCTGCAAGCTTCTTATGTGCTGCTATAAAACCGCCCTATAATTAATTGGGGGAGATCCCAAAAATATTCATTAGTCATGCTTTGCACTTGTGATGTTTCCAGTAATTATGATGAGAACTGAAACAAATCTGCCCAGAATTTCCTTAAAATTTTTCTCTGAGAATTTTCACAGTGAATATCATCCAGGTGTATTCTCCTTATGTAGACAGTTCCCATATTTTGTGTATGACAGAATTTGACAGTTTTGATGAGAAACCAGTAATATCTAATAGTAAGTGGACGACAAATAGCAGCCAACATTTGACACCATCTGATAAATGAGTTGCAATATAATTTAGTGAATTTTGTACTAGTCATTCAAAGAAGTCAAAGCAGGTGATTTTTTTTTTAACTTTGTTGTCAAATTGGGATTCCCCAAGGCAGAATTTCTCCACCAAATTACAAGCTGAAATTTAAGCATTCACTGACTTTTACATTTTGTGAAATTTAATTTCTGCCCCAGTTCTGAATAGGCTGCTCTGTTCTTGGATAAACTTTAAAATGGATCACACCTGAAGAATGCTACTCTTTTTAAATAATAATAATAATATTTTTTATTAATTTTTCATTAATAACAATCCAGTGGAGGCCACATTAATACAATGCCAAATCGTGCGAAATCACAATAAAATCAAAAGAGCCAATTAAACAGTTCCGAATGAAACATATTTGGATGACTTTCCGTGTTCCGGCTATCAGGAGTTGATATTCCTTGATCCTGTGCCAATTCTCTTAATTAGTCCAAGTTCCACAATTCCTATCTTAATCCTTTGTTCTAGCAGCCACTGATGTGATGACTTTTGATCGTGTTTAATAAATCCAAATCCATTAACTTGCAGAGGGAAATTATATCCTGTAGCTGTGTGAAATATTTGTTTACCTTCTTCATTTCCTTCACGTTATAATCAGTCAATTTTCTTCAACATTGCCCCTCCTTCAAAAGCTCATTTCTAGGTGCGTCGCAGCTCAATTTTGCCTCTCTGAAACCGAAAGCAGAAACAAGTCCATCTGCGTCACACCAAAACCATCATAAATCAGAACTAGAGCTCTCTTTAGTTGGAAATGTTACAAGTCATCACAGTATTTCACACAGTCTATCCTTTCAAGCACCCCGTAAAGAAAATTATAAGTTCTTGTTGAATCCCTCTTGCATTCCATATATAGTTGTAATCCATTAGTAATTTCCTTCCATTAATATTTGATTCTTTTTCAGTGAAGGCTTTCCAATTCATAGCACAGCAAAAATAATGTATAAAGGCTCCCTTCACTTACGTAGCATTCCAATTACGATGACAAGAGTCCTCTCCAGATCAAAACCTTACCACTCAGTGGCTGATTCATTTTGCAGGTTATCTTTCTTCTTCTTCCAAAACACGTCTGTTTCTTTAGTCCAAATTCAGACACATCTTAAAAGAAACAGAGATACCTTCGCTCATGGCAACCGCATTGGGGAGTTTCCAATATGGGCAGTACTATGCCCTCTGCATCCCTGACTCCGCATTCCATCGGAACCAGAAGCAGTTATCGGACGATCCATGAGAGAAAGCTCCCCCCCACCAACCCTGGGGATAATACTCCCAAATTATCCTTAATTAACTGCACGGCTGGCATCCGCTATCATGGTATCGGCAGTTTGTCATGGCAGCTGCGCCAGAAGTCAAGAAATGCACTGGGAATGCACTGCTTACCTGACTTCCCTCTGGCTGAGTTGCTTCTGCAAACCAGGTTAAAGGACAACAGAGCAGTGAGGTGGGTGTGGTGCAAACATGCTGGCAGAGGTAATCTGGCATTCCTACTGACATTTGCACCATGTCAACCTTGCCACCACCATGCCCCTTCCCTCCTCCATCCCAGAATGCAGCAGCGACTCAGTGAGAGGGAGGTCATGTGAGTGGTGCTGCTCCGCTACATAATTAGCTACATTACGCTGCCATTCTTTCTGTTTACACCCCTCAAACACTGGACATCATTATGACTTCTCTTTTTAAGTCATTAGCATCTGCTAATAATTGTTCTTTTCCAGACTGGAATTTTGAAAGCCAAGGCCAATTGTTTGTAATTCAGTATAAATTCTCTCTCGGTACATTATGAATCTCTTAGTGCCACTGAGGGGGGCTCAATTAGCATAGACTGCTGAGAAGCACTTGGAATACTTAATCTTTTAAGAACTACAAACTTTAATATTAATCACTTAAGTTTTAATAAGAAGGCATAAATTGTAGCCTTGATTCCAAAGCACATTTGGAAACAAAATTTCCATTTTATTTTGTTACATTTCTTAATGTGGAGGGGAAAGCAAGGATGAAAGCTTCTTAATGAAGTGAAGGGATGGAAACCTCAAAAGATTGCTCTTTAAAGTGGAGGGGCATTAAAAATCATCCGCAACAGTGGCATTTGTGATTCTTATAATCTTATCTCAAGGGCATTTGAGTAAATTTAAACATGTGCAGGAGCTTTTAAAAAGTTACTTTTGCTATATGGAACTGCAAATCCACTTTGCAAACATGATATACCCTGACAGTTGTTGAACCAGCACTGTTTTCTTGGGGTGGAGGCCTCCATATAGCCCTTTGACGTGGTCCTAATTCATCCTACATAAGGCTTCTTTACAGTTCATCACAAGAGAGCAGCACTGAGGCAGACATCACCTCAGCTTTACCTAGGCTAAAATGCCCATCCTGATAGTAAAATGGAGACCTCCTCCCCCCAGAGGTGCTGCTTCACTGGCTGGGTTGATTGGCAGCATGTAAACAGAATACATTGCCAATGTCTTGCCCAAACGAGTGCTTCTTTTATAGCATAGCAGGATGACTTCCCACAGTGGAAAGCCATTGGAACCATGTTATATGTCTGGGGTCTATATCTGGGGATATGATGGGGACAGAGCACAAAAGTGAAGCTGTAATCTTAACCATGTCTACCTAGAAGCAAGTCCCTCTGAATTCAAAAGGGCTTACTACAAGATAAGTGGGGTTAGAACTGCAGCCTCAGACAAAAGGCCAGTAGTAATTTTATCCTTTAAGGAAAGCAGGAGAAGGAGATGGGCTGGAGTATCCTAACTTGAACACTGGGAAGTACCTTCAAGGAATACTTTGTCGCTGAGTAGTTGCACCCGTCATTGTTTGCCAGGAAATGAAAGCTTAACTAACCAACCTGAAAAACAGAATATAGTCAAATCCTTAGATGTTGCCCACTTCAGGTTACTTATATGGAAAGCACCTTTTCACTTAATCAGGAATTAATTTATCCTTTGCATTTGTGAGACTGTTCTCTTACACTAAACCTTTACAGTAGCTACCAACGCCATTTTTGTTTTTCTGAAATGCTTTCCTTTATTTACACTTCAATCTTCAGTGTATCCTGTACTACAGTACAAATCGGTGGGGGGGTGTTATGGGATAAAAAAAACACATTAAAACATTACCCTACCCACCTTCCTAAGCGATAGCATTGCGGCATATGTAGTAATGCCATAAACCATAGAATGTGTGGGGAAATTGAACAATTTAATATAGCACTATAAATTGCTTGTTCCTCCAATATGGCTAGAAAACCAATTTTCACAGTAGCAGGCCACGAGAGGTAAACACATCCCCAATGGAAGAACTCTTTCAGATTGAAATTGCAGCAAATGAGACATACTTATTCATGACCATGGGAATGTTGATGGGTGGGGGTGGGGAGAATAATAATTTCAAAACTTTTCCTTCTCCTTCTTCTCCCCCACCCCCCCTTTTTTTTTGCTTCTAAATAAATTACCAGTAGGCACTGCTAGCCTAACTGAAGAGCTTGTATAACTTCAGACAGGTAATTTACATGCAGTGATTGGATGTAGAATTGATGCATCAAAGGGACCATGGCGCTTCAGTGTTCTCACTGCGCCCTTTATACCCTTTTAGCTGCATCCATTTTCTGTAACTAAATAGCTGGAAAAATTTTTACATAATCCATTCCTCCACAGGCATAATATCATATGAGGGGTGGTGTTGGTTTTTTATTGTACCATAATTGGAGATGGAACAAATGTGCCTCCCCAGGCAAGTTCTTGGTTGCATGTAATGTTTGTACATATGAAGTCAGTAGACTGAACATCTCCAAAGAATGAACATCTAAAAAGCACCAGTATATTACAATCTGAATCTAGTGTGTTGTTGGGGGCAAAAGTGGGCAAGGACCCCCACCCATTGAGCTCCAACTGGACCATGCTGGGGAGAAAGATGGCTGCGTTTTGAAAGCTGCCAGGAGACACACAACTGACTATAATAATCATTCATATCTATTTATGTACCTACCAGGGCCGTCTTAAGCATATCCGGTGCCGTGGTGCAAAGCTCCCTCCACCCACCCCCCATTTCCCAGAATTGTCAACCTTTTTTTAGGGAGGACAGCGCTGCTTCGGCACGGCATGGCGGAGGCAGGCGAGGGCGGCAAGCTGGTGCTGGGAGGGAGGCGCCACGTCCAGCCTCCTCCTCTTCCCTGGTGCCCTCCAGAACTTGGCACCCTGGCACCCCGTGCCACTAGCCTCTATGGGTAAGATGCCCCTGACACCTACATGCTTTTCAAGTGCTCAAATAATTTCATATACATTAGCTCAGTGATGCTTACAACACCTTACTGGGAATTGCAGGTGGGGAGAGCGATCTAGTGCTTGGATACTGCTTACGGGTTTCCCATTGGGGCATCTGGTTGGCCCCTGGGAGAGCATAATGCTGAACCAGATATGTCTTTGGTCTGATCTAGCAGGGCTCTCCTTATGTTCTTATATTGAAGGGTGGTTTGTTGTTTTTTTTAAAATCAATGAAATCCTTAAATCCTGTAATTTTGTTCCAGCATTATTCCTAGCAGAAGCGTCCTTCATATGGGCTGTTGGAGCAAGGTCACTCGAAAAACGCTTCCTGCCAGATGTGCTTTCCTGTACAGTGAGGATAACTTTGAGCTCCTGACCCATATGACCGGTGGCACCTGCATACCCTCCAACATTTCCCTGATGAAAATAAAGACGTCCCATTCCATAATGATAATTTTACTATTTATTTTACTATTTACTATTTACATCCTACACATCTTACTGGGTCACCCCAGCTACTCTGGGAAGCTTCTAACATATATAAAAGCATAATAAAACAGTAAACATTTAAAAAAAAAAAACTTCCCTATACAAGATTGCCTTCAGACAGCTTGGGGGTCAGATAACTCCATGCTTCCAACATTTCTCCAATGAAAATAGGGACATCCTAAGGAAAAGTGGGACATTCTAGGATTAAATCAGAAACCAGGAAGGCTTCCCTAAATCAGGGACTTCCCTGGAAAATAGGGACATTTGGAGGGTCCGCACCTGTAAATGTTGTGCTGCAAAGGAGGGGATGCACAGGAGTTCATATCAGTGGAAGTAGTAAGTGCAGATTCGATGTCAGAGATGATATAATCCATCATCCCTGGGTGCTGTGGCTTCCACTGATGGGCCTCTCAAAGGGAATGCCATGCCAGCCACATCAGGCCTCTTCTCCTGCAATTGTCTCCTGGGTGCAGCCATTCCATCAGGCTGCCTCAGTGGCAGAGATGGGAAGCAGAAGGTTCATTAGGTAAAGGTAAAGGGACCCCTGACCATTAGGTCCAGTCATGGACGACTCTGGGGTTGCGGCGCTCATCTCACTTTATTGGCCGAGGGAGCTGGAGTACAGCTTCCGGGTTATGTGGCCAACATGACTATGCCACTTCTGGCAAACCAGAGCAGCACACGAAAATGCTGTTTACCTTCCCGCCGGAGCGGTACCTATTTATCTACTTGCACTTTGTTCTTTTGAACTGCTAGGTTGGCAGGAGCAGGGACCAAGCAACAGGAGCTCACCCCATCGCAGGGATTCAAACCGCCAACCTTCTGATCGGAAAGCCCTAGGCTCTGTGGTTTAACCCACAGCGCCACCCGCACCCCTAGAAGCTTCATTAGCTCTGCCAAAAGCCCAGCTCCATCAGGCTCCTTCCTACCCCTGAAATGTCCCAGCTGGTCATTATAACAGGGGTCGGCAAACTAAGGTCCGTGAGCCAAATCAGGCCCTATTGCCTTCAGGATCCAGCTGTCCTTACATCAGAGTGGGGATTCTGTTCCTTCGGGCTGAACCATTTTCCCCCTGCGCCATTCCATTTCCCCCCCTTCCCTCACACACACAGCGGTGGCGCCTCCTCCCTCCCTCCTCCTGGCTTCTCCCTGCGCTGCCTAGAGGAGGAAGGGGGCTGGGCTGAGCTTGCTGAGCGCCATTTTAAGCAGCTCCTCTCCGCAGCCAGCCTTTTCATGTTGCTCATCTTCCCTCCGCCGCTGCCTTGGTGCTCCTTTGGGCCAGAGAGCAGAGCAGACAAGCTTGCTCTGCTTACCCATGAGAAGCAGCAGCAGTGGTGGTGGCAGCAGCCCCAGGGAAGGTAAGCACAGCGGCTGGGGCTGGGGGGGGGGTGAGGAGGAGGACTACTTGCCCCCCTCGCCTCTTCTTCCAGCTCCTGCCCCCCGGTGCCACTTCTCCAGCCTGCCACAAGGTCTGAGGGACAGTGGACCGGCCTGCAGCTAAAAAATTTTGTTGACCCCTGCATTATAAGAACAATTCTTTAAGAACAGGTGCCTCGGTTTGATTTCCTTTTCCCTCTTCCCTCCTTGTCCCATTAGTTCACACTGCACACAGAGGTCTATGGGATCAGTGCCAGTAGAAAACATAGTTCCTGGTCTCAGGGATGGAGGACAGGTTGGGGACCTTCTTAGTGTATTCATGCCTACCCCCTGCCCAAGAGCACTGCTTTACTTTCCCTCCGTAGGAACTGCATTCATTTGTATGCAAGAGATAATAAATGGGTTTCATGCATATTTATGGCATCCAATCCCAGTTAGAAGGTAACTTATTTAATTGTCCATGTATTTCAATGCATGTGTACATACTGTCCTTTAGGTCTTCTGTATTGGATTTCTTGGGTCCAGTGTTGCCAGAAATCCCCCTTTCACCCAATGCTCTCGGGAAAGGGATTGGCTCATACATATGAGCTATCTGTTAAACTATTTCTTTAATTATTGTAGAATCTGTGGAACATTCCACACTGGGATCCAGGATCTCAACTTTATTTTTGGCAGGTTTAAAATGCTCTTTAGTATTTTATGATAGGTAGAAAACACAATGTCGTAGTGTTTTGCAGCATGGATTTGTGAAGAATGCAGTAAACTACTGGAAAAGAATAAACCTCAGCTTTTGCTTGGGTACCCAATAGAGTGCTTGTGCTAGGGTGAAATGACTGGATTAATATCCAAGACCGAGCCTGCCTATCTCTTTGTGTGACAATTCTGCTACTTCCTGAGTGGCTTTTAAATACTTCAGTGTTGTATTGTGATGCCAATACACACCATGGATAATTCATTTTGAAGAGCTTAACTGAAAAACTTCTCTCTACCAGACTACTAATCAGAAAAAAATACATTTTAGCAGTACCTAGCTATTATAAATGAATAAAAACATCAATAAGCAAACAGCTTCCTAAATTGCTCCTTTAAATTTTAACTAAGACTGCAGCTCTAATTATATTTTACTTTGATGTAAATCCAACCAAAATTAAGAAGGCTTTCCTAGAATCCCACTCGGTTTTACCAGATGTCCTTGATGTCCTTCAGTCTGTAGGGATACCCAGATGTCCGCCATCTTGTTTAAGTTTTGAATCTTCAGAACCCTGCTAGTAGCACATTTTCAGGATCAAAGTTTTTTCCTCCCCACAGGCTAAATTTGCATTTGAGTAATGAAACTTGCATTCTCTTCTGTAGCTAAAATATCACATGCTCCTAGCAAAGCAGACTCTGCCAAGAGCGAACTTCGCTAGTCAACGCTCTTGAGAGAATGATACTTTTCATTACAAGGGGATGCAGTTTAATGAACTGGATGGATTCACTTGCCTCTAGTGCTTCTCTGGAGCTTGTGATGATCCCCAGATGATGAGTCACAATTTGCATTTAAAAAGAGACTGACAATTCTATTGAAAAAGCATCAGGCTCAAGAGCCTAGAAGCAGTTTCCTTATTATTTAGTCTGACTGATATTGGCTATTATTGCAGCCTTGATACTGTTCATTCAACAACACTGATAAACTATGTGTGTATTATTTTTTTTAAAAAAAAGTTGCAAAAGATCCATAGGATGCTTACATATCGCTAACCAGATGAACAGAAGGAAATATCTGAGGAATTGTAGACCATCCACCCCTTGTTTCAGAGGATTGGAAGCTCAAAATGCACAGTTTTGAAATCCCATTTTATCTTCCTCTGCTATTCTTGTTTATTTTTTACTTTTTATGTTTGTTTGTTTATTTATTTATTTATTTAGGAGATTTTCTCCACCTCCAACCTTTAAACTATAACATTGGTAAGCAACATAAAATCAACAATAAAATCCTCCAACCTTAAACCTTAAAACCAACCTTAAAACTCCAACCTTAAAACTATAACACTGGTAAGCAACATAAAATCAACAATAAAATCACATCAATAACATAAATGGATCATAAATTAATAGATCTGATTAATATATCCCACATTTCTTCCATCATGGAATATGCACCCAGTTCCTTAAACTGTCATCTGTTCATGCCCTGACAAGATCCAAACTAGAATTGCCAATACTTTGGCTTGGGATTATTCTTATGCATTGAATGTTTCATTGCTGTGGTTGGCATTTGTGTTATTCCTTTATGCTTTGTTTAGATTCAGTGTTGAATTCCCTGTAATTTTACTGTTTAACTGTGATGTCAACCTGCAGAAGGGGCACCTTCAAAGCTTCAGTGTCCGTAGACTCCCTAGTATGTTGAGCCCCAGATGAGGATCTGACATGCCAAATGTAGCTTAGCTACACATGGTTTGCTGAGGTTTAGCATTAGGTACAGGATCAAGCTCCCAGCTCCATAGGCCCGTCTCAGGCAGTACAAATACAACTTCTCAGCTGGTACATCCCAAGACCTCCTTATCCAAGGTGTGGGTGCTGGGAGACTGAAAGGTCCAGGGGCTCTGCTGCTGGCCCCTCCTTAAGATATGGTCTGGTCCTCCCAAATCCTTGTCATATGGGGTTGGGGCCTTCTGTGTTCCATTGCAGGTGGAAGAAGGACCTGTAGTGGAGCCAAGAGACCCTCAGCTCAGCTTGGCTCCTTTTCCAGGAAACTATTTTCTGCCTCTCTGGCAATTGCTTCTTCTGGGCTATTTAAGCTCCTAAGCCTCAACAGCCCTTCCAGTAGCAGGTGCTCCTATCCTGCCCTGCTTCCCCCTGTGCAGGCTGAGTAGCAGCAGCCTTGTCTCTTGGTGAGGCAGATTGGGGCCATCTTAAAGGGACAGTCACAGCAAAAGCTATTGTACCTGAAGTGATCTCCAGCAGATCTTTTTTTCTGTTTGATGCCCATTTGCGTTGCCTATAGAAATTATTTTGTGAGGTGACTAAATAAATATTAAAAGGTATTTATACTGTGTTAGGCTACAGTGCTATATACAATTACTTGGGAGTATGGTCCATTAAGCTCAAGAGATGTATAGGGCTGTGCTGGACATATCTCAAGAAATGTTATGAGCCTACTTTATAAAACAAAAGCACAAATGACTGCAGCAAAATCTTAATGTAGACCATCAGTAATTTGAGTGAAGCTCTGAAGACCAACATGGGAAATAGATCACAAAATTCTGTTTGATTAGGCACAATTCTTTGTGTGGGTTGTTGTTGCTTTTACTAAATAGTTATACCATTAAAACTTGCTCCTGAAAAACCAGAAACAATGAGGGAGAGTTCTGGGGCAGAGAGCCTAGTCCAGTACTGAAGGAAAAGGCTCACCACAATTGAACATGTGCTTGTAGCAATAATCCATTACTCTTGTGCCCTGGTAAACTAAACTGATTAAATGATTTTATATTTGCAAAGGAAGCCATGCATCAAACTGTTAATAAAGTTACTTATGCGCTACAGACACTAACTGACTCCAGCAATGTTTGCATGGGAAAGGGAGCAAAATCTATATTATTGATCTTTAAGGAAACACATACAGTTCTGTGCTATACTTTCAAGATGTTGAGGCTGGTTGGTTAAGAAAGCATGTGCCCTGATCATTTAATACTGTCCCAGATGCAGAGGCCTTGTTACTTAGTATATCACACAACATTTGCTGCGCCACTGATCAGAATTCTGACCTCTGTAAAACCTGGATGAGCATATTAAAAGAATGTTAAAGGAACGTAAGGATTTTCTAGAGGAGATGAGCAAATTCTTTGCTTCACCAAGAAAGACACAGACCACCAGATACTTGTGTCTCAGTCAAGGGAGGGCACTTGGAAGATTAACTTCTTGGTTTTACCAATGAATACAATTTAAGCAGCCGCTGGGTCCAGACGGATCTAAGAGCTGTTAAAGAATTAACCTGTGAAAGTGTGCAGTGTAATTATCTCTTAGTAAATGATGTAAGATGACCAGGTTGGGTGCTCTGCAATTTGTTGAATTGCCCTTTCAAAGCCCGGTTGCAAATTGTGAGGATCCAGGATGTGCCATGCAAGGTACTGTTGTAAGACAGAGCCTCACTTTATTTTTGCTGGATTTTAGGTTTATTTTTCTGGCCCTTTGTAGGAGACAAATGAGATTGCAGTATTAGCAGGCTACTCTTTTCTCTATCATGTCTCTATAGCCATACATTACAATTTCAGCTCTTTTGACACTGATTTGCTTTAAAAGACACATTCCATTGGTGGTACTGATATTTCTCTGTCTGCCGCTGGTTTTATTTCGATAGGATCCGTTGCTATCAGTAATGGCCTTTTGAAGTCTCAATTGTAGCAAGATAGTGGCATTATTCATCTAACGAGACTTGCCAGAATCCATATTTTTCATCCCGCACAGGCATTGCAAGATCAGGTAAGATTTCTTATGTGGCAAGCATTTGATAATAATACCTTGTTTAAATTGCTAGAACTATATATTTTTTCCTAGGATTTTTATTCTGTAAGATCTGTCAACCTGGCAATGATATCATTTCCCATTTTATAATTTCCCTCTTTCTCTCCATTTGATTGTCCCATCTGCTTTGGAGCCTGCATAATATCCATGTCCTTTTAATACATTATTTCAGTTTTTGAGCAATTGTGCCTTTGATGTGCTACATACTACTCATCACTAAAAAAGTTTCTGTTGGCTTGCAAATTGACTAGCGGTATGTGTTCAGTGTTCAACATGCATGCAGTACCACTTGCTGATAGAAAGGGCTTCAGACTATAGTTTAAAGACTGACGTGGAAGCAACTGTCTTTTTTCCTTGTTGATTTGTCTCTAGTACCACTAAGAATCATTTTGCTTCTCTATTTTCTATAATGTTGAGAATGACCTTGTAACCATTACATTTGCAGATGTACCAATGTCTATTTTGCATTTCGATTCCCCCCCCCTTAAGCTACAAATTATTTTATAATTGCACTTGTGTAATTCTGGTTTGTCTGTTTTTGTTACTGCACTTGATTATTTTAGTTCTGAGCTTAAAGCTCTTAGACAAGATATTTTGGCTCTAATTTGAAGGGGGAGGGTTGTGAGAGTTAGACAGAGTGGTGAACCTAGCCAGGAGATTTCATGGGAAGAAGCAGAAAGACAAGGTGGGAAAGAAACTCACAGCTGCTCCTCAAAACTTCTCCCAGGGGCTGATGGCCACCATTTCCCTTTCCCAAAAGGTCCCCAGGAACAAAGTTGCATAATGATGGACGCCACTCTTACAGGGAATTCTGGGACAGGATGGCACACACACCCTGAGAAATTGGCCAAAATGCAAATGGTGCTCAGCACTAAGCATGTTGTTCTTGTCCAAGACCTGGATGCTAGAAAGAAGGGTGTAAAGGGTGTTTTAAGGCTCTTGGGAACTAGGCCATCCTTAGCACTGCTCAGGAAATTTCTAACCCTTGGGAGCAAAGATTTATTGCGCTGCAGTTGCCTGGATAAGGTCCTGACAACACTGAACTAAAACTTAGATCCTTTATGTGTTCTGTAAGCCTTCCTCTCACTAGTAACTGTCCCGCCTTAAGTTGATGCTAAGCCCTACCAACAATATCAAATGGGAGTTTGCAAAGAAAGAAAGATCAGTGATGGTAAGTGAAGGCAGATAAGTCATTCTAGGCCTTCTGGCCTGTTTTTTTGAGACAAGGAAGCTTGTATTTGTCATAGGAATGTTCTTACTAATGCATCTGCAACACATGTTATACTTCCCATGGCTGTCCAGGGTTTTGTTTATATATAAAGTTTCAAGAGAAACAATATTAATTGACAGGCTAAATTGATACATGGGCAGAGAGACAAATAACTGAACATTCAGTTTCTCTCTGTGTACTTCCTTTTGGAGTAAGATTTTTTCCCCTGTCATACTCATTTAGAATCCAAAATGTACTGAGCAAAAGGGGGAATGGATTGTGCTGACTATTTTAGTATGTCTCTTTTTAAAATTAAAGTATGCAAGGCAATGGGAAACAAGCAATGAGGCTTCTTATCAGTGCAAAAAAAAAAAAAAAGTTGCATAGATCCATTTTCTGTGTACTGTTAAAATCTGTTGAGAACTCCGAGTTCAAGCAGCTGCTATAGTTGGCACGATTTTACAGAAACTGAAACTCTCCTTAGAAAATGCTGAGACACGACAAAATTCTCTTGTCTTCTGCAACTGGTACAAATAAAACAACCATGATCAAGAGTAGGAGGAGATGAATGTCAGTCTGAAATCAGCTGCCCACCACTGTTTTTCCTCTAGGTGGTATAAGAAAATAATGCATGAAGGGATGACAACTGGGGTGGAACTGAATCAAACCTCAGTTTCCTTGTGTTGTTCACAGGCTATAAAAACGCCATTAGAGATTCTTTGGGCAAGGAAAACCCAAATGGGGCAAATTATTCAAAGGTGTACTGCAAAACACTTTTCCTTGGGTGGTGACCATGCTCCCTGCAGCTGCCCAGTGCCATTTTCCCCACCCCTACTCTTTAGCTACTCAGTTTGGTGTCGTGCCATCATCACGCTGCAAAAACAGACTAGCTATGTGATGACAAAAAGCCATATCAGAGTGAAGGTAATGCTTCAAACTCTTCCTCTGATTTGGCTTTACGATTGCACCATGTAGCCAGGCTTGGCTATGTGACACTATGTGAAGGTAAGAAGCATTTCCTTTAGTCAGATTTGGCATTTAAGATAATGCCACATTGGAGTGGGGGAAATTCTTCTTTCCTTCATCCTGGCACAGCTGAAGGGGCATGGGGAATGCATCAAGCAGCATTAGGATTAGCAATTGCCATTGCTATGGTAACCATGAACAGGTAGGGAAGAAGGGGCTAACAAGCAAGTGGCGGTAGGACAGATATGAAAGTTTTGCATACCCAGACTTCCTTTATGCCCACTGGGTTAGTTTTTGAACATTAAGCTGAGCCTAATGAAGACTGAAGGGGCCTCACCCCATTCCCTGTAATCAAAGCTAGTGCTTGTGCGGAGAATGATAGAAGATGGGATGAAGGAATTCTCCCAGAACTGGAGCATTCTTCCATTACCTGCACATCCCTACATTGTTTCAGCAGCTTTTGATTCCATAGTTGTGACAAAATGCAAACCTCACCAACTTTAGTAGCGTCAGCAATATTTCTTTTTATTTTTGCTATTTGCTATTTATTTGTGCCTTGTCAAATTTTGTAGCACTGGTCATGATATGCTGCAGTGAGCATTATATTACAGATAGTGCTAAAAATATTACATAGCATATTGCATGATCTGTCCCAAATTGTGAATGTACCTTACTTCTGAATTATGGTGCTGGAAGAGACTCTTGAGAGTCCCATGGACTGCAAGAAGATCAAACCTATTCATTCTGAAGGAAATCAGCCCTGAGTGCTCACTGGAAGGACAGATCCTGAAGCTGAAACTCCAATACTTTGGCCACTTCATGAGAAGAGAAGACTCCCTGGAAAAGACCCTGATGTTGGGAAAGATTGAGGGCACAAGGAGAAGGGGACGACAGAGGATGAGATGGTTGGACAGTGTTCTCGAAGCTACCAGCATGAGTTTGACCAAACTGCGGGAGGCAGTGGAAGACAGGAGTGCCTGGCGGGCTCTGGTCCATGGGGTCACGAAGAGTCAGACACGGCTAAATGACTAAACAACAACAACCATTATATTTGCTTGGGAGAAACAGTTATACTGGGAAGGCATGATCTCTGCAGTGCAAGGATTGCTCAGCTACAATTAGCCACCATAATGACAGTAAACATTGTGGTGGGGAACATTTGTGGAAGAAGGAGGCAGGGACTGTTCATCATCTCTGCATTTAATCTTCTTCATAGTGATAAAATGAGACAGCCCCATTGTATGACCACGAGCACAGGAAAAGGATGAGGCACAGAGAGACAGCTGAGTTCCTGATGGAAGAGGACAGACAGACAGAAACAACATAAGAAAAAGAATAAAGGTCAAGAACTAGCAAAATAAATAAATGACTCTCATCAGTTTACTGATGGAAGGATCACAAATAGGAGCCCTGTTTGATCAGACTATTGGCCAAAAAAGATACCTCACCACACCCATCTGACTGGGTTTCCCTAGCCACTCTGGGCAGCTTCCAACATAGTATAAAAACACAACTGTGTATTAAATATTAAAAACTTCTCAACTTATGGAATATATGTTCCATAAGAAGATTTGTAACATTAACAAAACAAAATTAAAATAATAGAAAGAAACAGACAATTAACATTTACCCTATCAAGAAAACAATATGCTGTTGACATAAACTAAAACTTTTTTGGTTTTGTTCTTGTGTAGGTTTTTGCAGGAGGTCCTGCAAAGTATGCACTGCTATTCTGCAATTAATCATCACATATGCTTAATGGAATTGACTGGCATATTGCATCTGACAAACGAGGCCAAGAAACAGGTGAAACCAAGCAGAAAGAGGGACATAATCAATAACACAGCCTGAGGGCACTGAGAGGCATTCTTGTATGAGAAAAGACTGGGGTGGAAGCCAGATCTAAAAACAGGGCAGGGTGAAACTAGGATTATTATTTTTTTGTAGTAAATACAGGAGGGAACAAAATGGTGCCACACAAATGAATGTGAACCTTTGAAAAACTGGATGTGGATCCAATTAATGTCCCCTGAAGTCCCCTATTTTGATCCAGAAAACAAGTCACTACAGCTCTTGGTGTGTGTACAAGACATAATGTTTCCTTCAGGGACCCACAGAATAGACAGAAGCAAAAAGAAAAGAAAAATATCAAAAGATCTCCTTTTACAATTCCATTACGGTCCTGGATTCCTTGGGGTGGGGGTGGGGGGTGATATCAAGGCTGTGTCTATTTCCTCACCAGTCAACTCTGCAAAAGCTGATGCATTCTGCAAGCTGCAAGCACTTGGAGATGATTCCTTGCTTTACATCTCTGGCTCTTGCTTAAAAACCAGTGCAAACCATCAGAATTCTTCATTAAAAGGAAAGCCACAAGAAATCCTTTCAATAATTAGAAATGTTTCTTCCTTTGTTTTTCTTTAGCAAATAGCTGCTGTGTGGAGCAGTAGGAAATTATGTTTCCTTCTAGGGGGTCAACAGCAGCGCATGCTTGTGGGTTTGTTTATCCTCGCAGCTGCTTGGCAATTATCATTTAGCAGCTGTTATTTTCCTTCCAGAAGGAAACTAGATTTGTCATTCCCCCTTGTTTCTCCCACAGATGAGGAACCTGCAGTGGGCGAAGAACAGCCTACCAAACAGACAGAACAACCTATAGCGTTCCTCCTTCTGGATGCTATGTGCTTGCTTCCCTCCCACCCACACATTACTTAGCAGTTCCATATGATCCCAGGTGTAGAAAAATAATTAGACATCTGAAGAGTTGTCTCATGTTATCTCAAGATGGCTAGAGTGGATGTTATTAGGAGACACAAATGAGGTGAGGTGAACATACCTGGTTTCTTTGCGATAATAGATCCAAATGCTGAAAGTATGAGCAAGGAGTTATAAAGATGCCACTTGCCTTTTGGAGAAACACTGGTGACATCAAGCAGGTGTGTACTTTTCAATAAAGGATGGGGAACCTATCAATGTCTGTCTGACTAGGTATCAATCATATTTATACCCTCCCTTCCAATATAAAGGTGCTTAGCAGTTAACACAACCAATGTGTTTGAAAGCCCAGGAACAGCCACTGGGAAGGCTCCCTTGACTTCACACCAAACATTCTTAAAGTTTTGGTGGGACAGAAAGAAGGACCTCTCCAGAAGTTCTTAAACCCCATACAAGTTCATGTTGGAAAACACAGTCTTTCAGGTCTAAAGTAATAGTGGGCTTTGTAGGTCATAACCAGCATTTTGAATTGTGCCTAGTAATGGATTGGTGGCCACTGCCACTGTGGTAACATGGGAGTCACAAGCTAACTATACCTGGTTCGCAGCCAATAGTATGGCTGCAATGTTCAGAACCAGCTAAAGTTTCCAAACACTCTTCAAATGCAGACAGATTTGTGTACAGTGTGTTACAGCTGTGCAAATGAGTAAGGCGCACACCACCAGGGACAGATCTAACGTCTTCAGGACTGGATGCAGTTGGTGCAGTACCCTTAGTTATGCAAAAGAGCTCTAGGGCATCACAGATTCAGGGCTGAATCTAGGAGCACACTCAAACAATAAGTGCTCTGTTGTGGATGATTCAGAAAGCCATTGGCTTTGACGTTATAGAGGCAAGCAAGGCAAGAACAAATTTGATTCTTTGCGATTTAGGCAGAATTCAAATATTAAGAAGAACTCCATTCCAAGATAATAATACAGATTAAGGAAAACGACATTTCAGATAATATGTCTCCATTTATTCAGCTAGACTAATCACCTCATTATTGTCCATCCTTTACAACAGACCATTTGCTGATGCTTATCTTTATGCTGGGACCAAGAAGATGATTTTGCAAGTGGCAAGAAACCTGACTAAAATTGCTTTTCGTTAGCTATCAGACAGTATCTTTCTTTCACTTGCTATTTCCCATTGTCACTGTCTCAGCAATTTACAATATCTTCTAACTGTTAAAAATATTCATCATGTGTCACATAATCCATCAGCAGCTTCTATTTGCCTCTGTTGTAAACAAGAGTTTTTCCAGGTCCCCATTTATCATCAGATTATAGAAGTTTTCTACTGTTCGCTTTTCCCCTGTGCTATGCCACTCATAATCTCACATCTCAGGGCAAAAACAACAGGGAGCATGTGCAACAGGAAGTTCTTGGTTCAAATCTCAACTCTGCCATGGTTTTAGGAAAGCCAATCTTGCTCAGCATCAATCTCCCTATCTGCATTATGGGGATAATAAGACTGACTCACCTTACAGAGCTGTTTTAAGTATTGCTATAGGCTATGCTTTTGGGGTATTTTGAACAGTTCACTGTGCAATTTGGAAAAATTCAGACAAGAACTATGTATCGTGGATGGCATCATTACAAGGATGCATGCTTGTGAAATTAGTTTAACGCTATCCTGAAACAACAAAGTGCAAAGAGATGCAGAAAAGATACAGTTCAAACGAAGGAACAGGGTACCTCCAAGCATGTTTTGAGCCTACGAATTATTTTAAGGGGCATAAATGAACTTAAAGTCTGTGCACTCAGAGGTCCACTCCTGATTATGTTCTCTAACCCACCCTCTCATTTCAGGAGCCTAATTAGGTGGGAAAGTACTCTGGTCGTTGCTTTTATTAAACAATTATGAGTCAGAAACTCTTGCTAATCTACTGCAAATCAGCCAGAGATCTGCCAGTTGATCCCAATCTATCCTACCCTTGGCAGACTGCATGACATGCACAGCTCTGGCCTCCAGCACTTCGTTGTTGCTTCGCACCTCCCAGTATCTGCTGCCCCCACTTAGACTTGGCCAGATTATATACAGGTTAAATATCCACCTCCAGCATTAAAAGTAGTGCTGAACCAATATTTTCTCTTTCGATTACTCCCTCCAGACATTTGCAGGGAGACGTGTACAAAAAGAGAAATGAAGATGAGGTGGGAGCACATTTCACCAAAATTATTGGGGAAGGATGGAAAAGTTTGGCTTATGTTACTTAAACAATGCACCAAAGTGTTTCTTCTGGTTTTTTAACTTTGGGGAAGGCAAGCCTCAGACAGCTTTCTGGAGCAGCTGTGCGAAGCACCAGGACCTCCCAATCCTAACATTGGCTCCTGATTTGCTAGAATGCTCATGGAAAATGTCCCACTATCGTTTGCCCCTGTGCTGTGGGTTGGAACATCCTGCTGAATCTTGGTTGAAACATCCCTTTGAACTCTGGTTCAGAAAGGGTCAGAAAAGGAATTCACCGGGGCTGCTTGGCATTGTGTGTTAGGCTTTGGTTTCTTTCTTTGTTTGTTTTGGGGGCATATTTTGGGCAGAAGACAGCAACTCTTGCAAAACCTGTTCTGCAGAAGTGGACTGCTGCCGGTAATTGGATGCCAGACATACTTTTAATGGTTTTTTTTAAATACTTCTGAACTGTTTTCTGTATCCTGTTATAAGGAATGTGGGGGATTGTGACATACAGCACACAAAAGAATACAGTGGATGAAAATACAACTCCTACTGTTTTATATGGATCAATCTGTCGGGCTTTTGGATGTAACCTAAACAATACCAGTGAATGTCTAATTTCTATTATTCAGGAAGCAATCCTCTGCTAAATGTACAGCAGCTGGAGTGCCTTAGGAATTGGCACAAGACCCTTGTAGCAGTAGATCTAGAAAATATGCTACTATTGGGATTCCTATGCCGGCATAATATCAGAGATATTCTCATGCCAGTTTAACTGACCCAGTAAATGAGGCAAGGAGGAAAACTCAGATGTATTGAAACCACCCCAGTTACATTTCCACTGACCAGTAGGGCTGGCTGCAGGTTTTTTCAGACCTTCCAGCACAGGATGCCCATTACTATCTCCCCATTATGTACCCCTGCCTCTCTTTCTCCTCCCATTATGGACTGTTTCCCTTTTCTTCTCCATCCCTTGTTCCCACATACTGGGACTCTGAGGGAGCAAAGCATTGAAGAGGCACCACTCCATTCTATTCAAGTACTCCTCCCAAGAGGAAGGGGAAAGTTGACCCAGAGCTCCCTGCAGTGGCACAGGCCCTCTGGGGTCATCATGTGAGGCATGGCTGCAATAAGCAAAGCAGCCGGACTTGCAAGCTCTTTTTATTTCCTTTGGAGCTTTGTGGGTCTAAAATGAGCACAAAGGCTCCTCCCATTCAGAACTGGGAGCTTGCCTCAAAGACCCCTGTGTCATAGAATCATAGAACTGTAGAGTTGGAAGGGACCCTGAGGATCATCTAGTCCACGGGCAGGCAAACTAAGGCCCGGGGGCTGCATCCAGCCCAATCGTCTTCTAAATCTGGCCCACAGACGGTCTGAGAACCAGCGTGTTTTTACATGAGTAGAATGTGTGCTTTTATTTAAAATGCATCTCTGGGTTATTTGTGGGGCATAGGAATTCGTTCATTTCTCCAAAAAAAACTATAGTCCGGCCCCCCACAAGGTCTGAGGGACAGTGGACTGGCCCCTGCTGAAAAAGCTTGCAGACCCCTGGTCTAGTCCATCCCCTGCAATGCCCCATATGGGGATCAAACCTGCAACTTTGGCATTATCAGACCATGTTCTAACCAACTGAGCTATCATGGGGGCATCCGAGGAAAGCTCCCATATTCTATTTGGAGAGACATCTGAGTGTCATGGAGCAGCAACTCTCTGCTCCACTCCCTCTGGGCACCTTTTCCAGTGGGAAACTGTCATCCAAAAGACACCTGTGAAGTCTTCCAGTTCCTGGTAGGAAGGGTGCCTGGAGCGAAAAGGACTTTCTACCACTTCACTTATTATGCTACTGCCATACACAGAGACTGGGGGTGGGGAGCCTCCATCCTATGGACCAAATTTGGCCCTCGAGACTTTAAACCATAGTCCCTTGCCCCACACTGCATGTCATATGTGACACCAGATATGACGCAGGTAGAGATGCAATTGATTGACTGCGCACAAAGCTAATCCCTAAGGCAAGCCTTGAAGTTACTGCCCATCAGCTGCCTCTAGACTTTTCTGCTGAATATGTGAGGTCTGGAGGACAAGGCCAACAATGATGGTGATGATGGAGTGTCCCCTCCCACCCGATGCATTCATAGCTCTGTGGAGGGAAATTTATGAAGGAAACTAGAGCTAAATACATGTGTAACTGACCAGACTGCAGGCAGATCCACACCATATATTTAAAGACCATACAATGCATGTTTAAAGCACATGACCTAGTGATCTTCTGTGTTCAGTTAGAAGCCTGTGACCATCATAAAGGTCTCCCTGACAACAACATTATTACTAGTATTATGGACGAGAGGGAAATCTCTATACCACTTTTCATGTCAAGACAAAATACCAAAGTGGTTCACAAATAACAACCATCTGCAAACATAATCTTTTCATTCAGCAGTTTAATTGCTGGACAGTTACCTCCTCCAGGAATTCTCCGCAATGCTAATAGCTAAACATTTGATATTCTTCAGCTCTGAAAAGGAGACAGAAATACTATAGCACTAACAGAGTAAAACAGCAGTATAAATGATCTGAGGATTTACTGTGCTTGTCAATCAAAGGGAGAAAAACATCTTAAACTTCAGAACAATATAGTCTTTGTTCTTGAACCTTTTGCCCACCTAATATAACCATGAAGTGGGCTCTTCTCTTTGCAACAATCTGCCTCTCCTGTCTCATTCCTTGCTATATCCCACTAGTCCTCCCTCTTCTGCTTTTTCTTTTTCTCCCCCCACTTCTGTTCTTCTTTCTTTTCCTAAAACTCACTCAGTTAATTCAACACCCTTTGAAGAGCCATTGATTTTGTTTCCTCAGTGAGGATGAAAAAGAGGGGATTCAAACATCATACAGTGGTACCTCAGGTTAAGTATGGTACTTAATTCGTTCCGGAGGTCCGTACTTAACCTGAAACTGTTCTTAACCTGAAGCACCACTTTAGCTAATGGGGCCTCCTGCTGCCGCCACGCCGCAAGAGCACAATTTCTGTTCTCATCCTGAAGCAAAGTTCTTAACCTGAAGCACTATTTCGGGGTTAGCGGAGTCTGTAACCTGAAGCGTATGTAACCTGAAGCGTATGTAACCTGAAGCGTATGTAACCCGAGATACCACTGTACTGGGGGAAAGTATAATAAATATTTAAATTAAAGGGCAGAAGAGGCATACATCATTCATTTTGAAAACCAGGCACAAATTTTTCAGGCCACTTCATCCTGACACACGTTAAATGAAAATTAACAAGGGAATCAGACTCCACTGTTGTAAATTCTCTCCCTGGCCACAAAGAACTTGCTCTAGTTACAAATTTTAGCCTCAAACTTTGAAAACATCAGCCTATTTTATTTTATTTTTTAAAGAACTATAATAAAACATAAGTATTACTATTTTTAATGGCCATTGAGCCTGTCACTCTAGGTTGCCTTCACTGTGATGTCTGACTCTTAACAACGCCCTACTTTTCCCTTAAAGTCTCATCTTCCCATTTGTCTCCCACACAGGTCTTTATAACTTAATAAGGAACAGACATGCCTTACTGAAGAGAAAAGTCAGAACAAGAAAATTCAATAGAGCTGTGTGTATTGTGGGCGGGGGTGGGAGAAATGAAGAAAGTGTCTCATCTTACATTAAGAATCAAAACTACAAAATATTATAAAATAAGGCATAACCTACTTTGTATTTTGGAAAGTTGTTTTGCTGTTTGCTATGAATTTCTTTTCTTTCTTTCTTCTATTTGCTATGTATTTAAAGACCTCTTAAGATTTTGCACAATGGTTCCTGACGGTGCTTTTTCTTCTGGGGGTACTCAAGAATACACAGTACCGGCACCTGCATTTCCCCTTTCCCCGCATAATTAAAAGAATCATGCAACAGACTGTAAATTAAACATTAAAAAAGTGTTTACTCACATAAAGTCTTTCACTTGATTCTAGCAGTAACAGAAACAAAAACATGGCTGGCAAATTCTACTTCTGGATTATGAAATACATAGCTGAGTTCAAAATGAAGTCTCTGCTTGAAGCGGAGACCAGACAGATGTCTATCTTGCTGAGAAGCATGGGGGAAGAGAAAGTTCTGAGGCAGAAGGAAGTACAGTGGTACCTCGGGTTAAGTACTTAATTCGTTCCAGAGGTCCGTACTTAACCTGAAACTGTTCTTAACCTGAAGCACCACTTTAGCTAATGGGGCCTCCTGCTGCCGCCGCGCCGCTGAAGCACAATTTGTGTTCTCATCCTGAAGCAAGGTCTTAACCTGAAGCACTATTTCTGGGTTAGCGGAGTCTGTAACCTGAACCGTTTGTAACCTGAAGCATATGTAACCTGAAGCGTATGTAACCTAAGGTACCACTGTAGAAAGGTTTAAGCTCATTTGTCTTTTTCCCACCAGAGAACTCAAATGAAGTGACATCAAACAGTGCCCTCTCTAGTAATCAGGAACTCTATGTTTTTAACCCCTTCAAAGCATGCAAGCTTATTTGGGCAGCAAATTCCCACAATTATTAACCTGCATAGGATATTTGTGGCTTTGGGGGCATTTCTCTCCATCTCCCTCCCCCTTCATCTCACTTCTTTTAATTGCTGGAAGTGGGGAGAGATCTGTGTAAACTATATAAATTTTAGAGTTTGAAAAAAGGTTTTGAAAAGGGTAGGCATACATTTTAGACATGGATTATAAAAATTGGCAGTCAGGTAGACGTGCCCCTTGGGTATTGCCTGACAGATATCCACAAGGTTTTATTTTGAGGAACATTTAAATGTCTCCAGGATGATGATATCGAGTCAAAAGAAGGCATTCACGGACCTTTATCGTATCAGAACTTGTTAATGGATCTGCATCAAAGTTGACTTGAAGAGAGCTTTGTACAAGTCGCACATTATAACAATGTTAATGGTCATCCTTTAAAATAACACTCGCTGAGAGACTTTTGCTTCCAGCACTCATAAAAAATGATTGTTTTATCACCCATTTATTATGCAGCAAAAATATATAAAAGAAACTCCAAGTGCTGGGAGCAATAGAAAAACAAATACAAATGAGCATTTGCCTTCCGTGAAGCCATTTATAATTCCTATCATATTTATCAGTTCTAGTGTCATCAAAGGCACTTGCAGAAGTTGGCACACTTTAGTCAAGCCTTCATTTGATACATATTAAAAAGGAGGGATGGTAAACAGGGGAAAAACGTTACCAGACAGATTTTATTTTATTTTTAAAAGATCTTTGCAGGTATAAATTATGGGCTGTATGCAATGTTAGTCATACTCAGAGAAGGCCCTTTGAAATTAATGAACATTAGAACTTGGGTCCATTCATTTCAATGGATTTACTCATGGGACACTGTGGTTTGACAGACTAGGAAGCTGAGTGGATAAAGGGAGTAGCAAAGTTGATAGGGGAAGATACAGCAACAAAGCACACACACAATCCAACAAATCATGGTTTCTTTTATCATAAATGTAACATTTGTGAGTGGCTGTGTCTCTCCTAGCGCTGCAGTTCTCTGATTCAGTACACAAGGAGAAACTCTCTATCATCAACAATGTAATTACTGGGAAATAAACAAATTGTAGTGGAATTGTAGAATCTGCACAAATGTGCAAATGAATGTCAGGATGTACTGAGGCAAGTCTGTGCATTCCTACATTCGGATCCGTGTTTGAAAAAAACAGGGTGATCAAAAAGAATGTAGGGAAAGGGCAACAGAAGCAACACTAAGATAACAGGGAAGAATGTCTGAGATGGTGATATGAATATATCTAGGAGCTGGCAGACGATAACTAAACCTAGCTGATGCCATATGAATCTCCTGAAGTCATGAGTCATGAGACAAAAAACAGCAACTGCATTTATTTGGGAGGATTTGTATTGCTATTAGATCTAATACCTTTAAATCTCCTATATTCCTTCCAAGAACAAATCACCATCACCTCTACCCCTGCAGAATTGTATTTAGGATAACACATTGCAAATATTACTAATCCTTGCCTGGTTTTCAAGATGTGGCAAATGCAGCAGGAACAAAATGTATATCTGTTACTACTTCAGGCTGAGTTTAGTCTCCATAAACTCAGTGTCCCTTGGGCCTTGGGCTAGCATTTGTACATTTGGCAAACATGGGCACATGTTGGGTTTGGAGATTATCACAGCAGAACAGTTCATTCTTTTTAATATGCCAGTATCAGGCACCTAGCTGTATTGTCCCATGACCAGTCAATTCTGACAGTTGTTTTGTAACTGCTAAGGAGAGATCGATTTTTTTCCTTGTACCTCTTGAGAGAGGCAGTGTCAGGCAATGTGTTTGATTGGGGAAAGTTATTTTTAAAGCATTTGTAATAGCTTGATCTACACTGTTACAAGTAAAACCTGTCTTCCTCCTTATTACTTCTACACACACCGGAAAGTCCAATTCACAGGCTCCTGTGCTGTGATATCCAACATGCAAAAATGTTCTACCAAAGAAATAAGTCTTATTGTGAGATTGCAATCTGCTTACTGTGATTGTAAGATCTGCCCAAAATTTATTCGACAAAAGAATTTTAGTATTTCTTAATGCTGGTAGATGTTCCTTTTACAGATATGAAGACCTCTTTGGAACACTTAGAATGTAAAAGAACTATTAGAATTGGGGGAGGGGGGTGTCTGAGTAAGGAAAATGTCATTTCAAGAGAACAGACACAAAATCAGCAGGACTGGGCTATTACCATGAAGTTCAATGGATTACTGTGTCTTTGGTTCACATGCTGTTTCAGCAAGTGTGAATTAGGTAGGTTTCCATTAAAATGTGCACCAAATTTCTCCCTATCCCTACATAGAGGAAAACATTTATCATAGTAGTACACCTCTGTTTCTTGCAGCAGCAAGTTCCTAAAGCATTGCATGCAAGACATAGAACAGAAAGTTAAGTTTCCAAACATTGCATTGCATTGCAATTTGCCTACTTCAAGTACAGTAACATTCCAAACTCTCGCCTTAATCTGCCTTTTGATTTATGTTAAACCTCTAAAGTATTTCCTAAGCCTTAAAACTCATTTTGAAAAACTTACCATTCTTGAAGTGATAGGCAAAGTGCTGACAGTGGAATAAAAAAATATATTAGCCCCAGAAAGTAGTACAGTATAGTTGCACATATAAATAAACATGACAATATTAAAGCGTCCCCTAAAGGTATAATAATTGAAGTGTTTGTTCCTG